GTTCCGAAAGGCATCTGGACACCTGCTGCAGCGTGTGGGGGTGGGGGGGGGAAGGCAGGGGGGAGCAGTCCATTTGGGTTTGAGTGACCATACTGGGTCCCTCACGGGCACACACACAGAGGGGGTGCTGGTCACCAAAACCCAGCCAATTCTCAGAGCCAGAGATCTCTCTTCCAGGGACTGAACCGATTTAACGGAAACTGCCCCAGAAATCAGCAGCCTCCCAGCCAGGGCGGGCTGCAGGGAGCACTCCACGTTGTGGAGACCACGCTTCTTTTTCACCTACTGTGTGTCTCGTGCTGGCAGATCGGGACTCTCAGCAGGAGCAGGATGGGGACAAGGGGTCCCAGAGTGATCCGGTCACCCAAGATCGCAGTTGGTGGCCAGGCGTGCCAGCGGAAGAAGAGCGGGGCTGGGCCGGGTCACTGCCGGCTTCCTGTGGGGAACGCCCGCCTCCTGGGACGTCCCAGGGCCGGGCGCATCGGAGGGGCGCTCGAAGCCAGTCTCATCAAGGGATTCAGGACAGGATCCTTCTGAGGGGATGGTTTATTCAAAGCCTCCCGAAGTCTCTTCCCGTTCCTGCCATTAAGCTCTGCCTTCAGTCCACAGCTCAGCATTTCCCACCAGACTAAAGGAGCCACTCCCTGATGTGGACGCAATTAAATCAGAACGTTAGCAGTATGTGAAGTTCTACAAAAGGCTGCAAACGGAACCCTCTACAGGCTCCGGATGTCCGTCGCTCAGGAAGAACCACTTCATCGCCTCTCCTTCCTAAAAGGCACCTCTGCCGGGCGAGTACGGTCTAGCCCATCCTTCTGTAACCACATCCTGAAACATCGCCTGCAAGTGCGTCTGAGAAATGAGCCGCCACCAAGATCAGACCGTGGTGACATTCATGCCGCGAAAGCCACGTGTGCGTTGCCGTCCAAGAAGCATCCGTAATGACTGCAGAAAACCTCCCAGCCAGGCGCCCTCCTCGGACACATCCAAAAAAGACATCAGCTATGCCTTGGTTTTCAAAGCAAAGCGGGGCCGTGGTTTAGGAAATGCGTCTGCAGGGAGCTGCCTGGACTCGGGCGGGAGAAATGGGAGACACGGAAGTACAAAGAAGCTCTTCGGTGCCCTCCAGCGCCTGACGCTGTCCAGAAGCCACCGCTGTGGTAGCGGGCGGGCCTGAAATCGCGGCAACGTCAAACAGGCTGGGGGGTGAAGAGGTCCGCCACGCTCCTTGCTTTTCGGCCCTGGCTTGTAGACACACCATCGCGCGTCGCCCAGCAAAGTAAAGCTTCAGTCTCGAAACCTTCCCAGGACGCCGCATCCCAAGAGAACGGGTCACCTCCCAAGAGGGCAACATCAGTTGGCGTACTGGGCGTAGAAGGCCACTTTAACTCTCTCGATCTGGTGGCACAGCTTGATGGCAGGCCCCAGCTTCAACTCCATGCATTCTTGAACCGTGGGAAGAGTCAGCAACAGGAGCGCTTGACCGTCGATGTCCTGCCAGGAAACAAAGCCACGTTAGAGCTGAGACACCGGGCGCCAAGGGAAGGTATCTGCCATGGCGGGCTTGCCAAAGGGCGTGAGGGGTGGCTGGTGGGGGTGAAGAGGCGGAAGAGGGAAACCACTGCAGGATCTCGTCCTTCTCAAGGAGATGGCCCCCTGCTGGGAGAGCACCACCCCCTCCGACCCCTGCCCTGGGCCCTCCCGTGTTCTGCCATGACTTGACGTGAGCACTAGAAAAGAGCTCTCTCCGAAAAGCAGCAGCTCTCTCTTTCTTACCCAGGTCTGAACTTTCACTATCGGGATGGGCAAGAAGACGCCGTAGAGGTGAGCGGCCCCCCAGAACAGTTTTCCCTTGAGGAAAACTCAGGTACGTAGATGCACACCACGGCACACGTCTTCGTCTGCACGCCCACATCCCCCAGAGTGAGGCGTACAAGGTCCCCCTCCCAGCTTTGTGTTAGTTAGCTCTCTACAGCCATACATGGGGTCTACATGAGGAAGATGTTCATTAGAGCCTGTGGAGTCACATTCACCGCAGGAGGAGGGGACCGAGGCTCACCCCAACACTTTACGATCACCCTGACGGACATCTCTGCCCCTACTGTCACAACTGGGTTTATTTATGGAGACGTTGTTTGACTGGGGTACTGAGTTGAAGTGCAATCCCTTCTTCCTATCCGCCAAGGCAGTCTTCGTGTTCCAGAAGAAGGAAGAGGCTTCTCATGTTCCAGGGGAAGTAAGACAAAGTAACGACAAAGACCCATGGTAGAAGGAGAGCATAAAATGAACTCAGCGCCAACATTTCTGCCGTCTGGAGAAGCAGTGAACCCAAGGCGCCGTAAGCCACAGAGACTTAACAGTCATGCGACTGCACACGCGCTTGTGAGGTCTCGCACATCGTGGGTCATGAGCTACACAGAAGCTTATTTTCTTAAAATGATGGTGTCTTCAGCGGTCTTAAAAATATCAAAAGCAAAGAAACAGAAAGCGTTGACCTTGGGAAGACCAACATGATCAGTTTCAAAAGCCACCTTCGTGTGCTAATAATCCCTGCGGAGTGTGGAGGCCGTAAAAATTGAGCGTTAATTTTACAAGTATCAATGCGAGTGCAGCTTCTGATGTCTCAATTACACAAGCCTCCTCTCAACCAAGACTCAAATTGGACCTTATCGAACCCCGAAGTAAACCTATCAGTCTTGAATTTACACTGAAAGTAGGAGATGAAGGAAAGTGTCCGTGAGTTTTTGGTGCTCTATTCATAGCACTTTCCCCTTTTTCTATCGTACTCTTGTATGTTACTTTGTCTCTTCGGACGCTACTCTGACTGGAGTAAGAGCAAACTCAAAAGTACTGGAAAACAGTGTCTTGCTCAAGGTCACGAACTAAATAAACAGTGGTAGCCGCTGACCTGGGACTGGTATAGCCAACTCCGTTTTCAGAGGCAAAGCCACATATATTCCACCAAAACTCGACAGAGAGGGCGTAGGCCTCGGGATACAAAGTCTCGTGAGTATCACGGGCCTCATAAAAACACACTGTGAGGAGGAACCAGGATGATGTTACAAAACCACGTGAGGTGGCGTAACCATTACGTTCAATGAAGAACAGAACAGAAACTTGTTTCAGGAGATGGGAAGTTTTTTTAGGTGGAAATTAACGCCAAAAAAAGCTGGCTGATCTACCTAAGATCACATTGTTAGAGACCAAACTGGAACTGGGACCCATGGTTTTCTGATATTAAATTCTGGAGGGAAAACTGTGCTCTAAACATGCCCACTTAGTATAATGGCCATCGTTGGACGTACGGATTCAATTATAATTGCAAGTCAGCCCTAAAATGCTTCTGTAACTCTCTACAGACCAAGTCGGTGAAGGTGGCTGCCATATGCATGCACACATTTGAATGGAGGATGTCACTTATCTATGGACTCAACAAGCAAGTGTTCCCTGAGCACCTACTCAGGGCCAGGCACTCTGACGACCTCTGCGATTACCACATAAACAAAACAAACACTCCCTTCCAGGAAAGTAGGAATCTCAAGGGAGGCCATTATGTTGAACAGACCACCACAACACAGAGAGATTAAAGCGTGGACACAGCTATACGCACTAACGGACGGGAACGTGACCAGCCTTATGGGAGTCAGGAAATGTCTCAGGGATCAGCGATGCCTGAACTTATACCAAAGGGGCCGAGGAGACGCATGAAAAGGAGGAGGGACCCACGGAAGACCAGTAGTTCCGGAAAGCATGTATCCAGGGAAAGCGCAGAGACGCGGAAGGTAAAGCTGAGATGGGCCCAGAGGGTCGTTAAGAAACTGGGACTTCCTCTAAGGTGTGCGACCAGAAGTCGCCAGAGGGCGTTAGGCACAGAGGTCACATTGTAGGATTCGAACACCTGCCCGCTGATTTTGGCCACAACGTATTGGCATGGATTAGCAGGCAGGGAAGTTACGAGGGGCTGAAAGGGAGGCCCCACCTCCTAACACCATCACCTTGGAAGACAGGATTTCAACACATGCGTTTGGTGGTGGTGGGGGTGGGGG